ATTGCAGGTGAAAGCCAAATCCCTGTCAGACCTCTGAATCTAAGCAGAGCAGGACATGGTTTAATACTGTGATGGGAGCCAGGTGCCACATGGGGCGGCTGCGGCGGGAAAGTGCTGTCGTTGCGTCCTAGTCATGACACTTCACCCACATTAGAATGCGTCTGGTGTTTGTGTGTGAATGGTTGGTGGAGGTCAGAGGGGCCGATGGCACAGACTGGTTGCATCGCTTCTGTCAGTGTGCCCTAGGGCAGCTGTGGCTTCAGTATTAGTTTATTACCACTGAATGAAAGAATATGACCTGTGAAGTGTCTTTGAGTGTCCAAAAATAGCGCAATGTAAAACCAATGCATTATTATAACGACAGGATTCCTCCAGGTGTCCAGTCATGTACCTCTGATGATTGATCTGATTTATTCATCCCACAGTAAGGGAAAAGGGCAGAAGGACTACACAGAGATCTCAATAGGCGAGGCAAAGCAACTTTATTTGTATAGCACAGTTCACACATGTCTCCATCTTGTAAATTATCACAGTGCATTAAAAAGAGTGAATATACCATCCTTCAGTTGTATGCACAGCTAAACCGAATAGTTTTTAACCTGGATTTGAACACTGTCAGAGAAGAAGCCTGTCTCACATTTTCAGGCTGGTCCAGATTTTAGCTGCATAATCTGAAACGCTGCTTCCCCATGTTCAGTCCTGAACTTACCAACTTGTACACTAAATGCAATTAAAATAATAACTTGACTCATGATTGTCCTAAATGTCAGTGCATATCTTTACGGTGAGTCTGAGTGATAAAAGCGCACCTACCTCATGTGATACTGTCACCTGTACCATGTGTCACTGTGTAATAGATTTCTTCTTCATCCACCCAACTATCAAAGGCTTAGGTTAGGCATGTGCGCACGATGATAACTTTGTTTGCAAATTTAAGCAATTAAAGCCTTAGAATAAAGGTCAAAGGCGGTTATCACTGTGGAATGTGACACAGGTTTCCAATCAGAAGGATATATAACAGAAATAAAACAGGTTTGTGTTTTTTCTGTCATTTTCACAGCATGGAGGTCCGACATTATTCACCAACTATAAATAGACCAATCCTCCTCTGTGTGATGGCTTAATAGTGAGTCCATTTTTTAAATTAAAAGTTGTATTTCACAATTCTACTTTGATGAATATGTAAATACATGTATGTGTTTCCAGAAGAGATAAACAGGTTTAAATTATGTTAGTAAAAAGTTAAAATTGAGAGTTCCTGTTCTCTCTGGGTTGGCCACCAGAGGGAGACAACGTTTTTTTTCCAGAACAAAAGTAATAATTAAGCCTACAAGTCTGCCAAATAAGTAGAAGATTATAAAAATAGATCTATGATCAAATGATTATTTTTTAAATATATAAAATAATACACATTGAATTATAGAGGAGAAGGCCCTGTGCTCTGGGTTTAAGACCTCAGAGATGGTCCGAGATGTACTGTGGGGCCAGTCCATTCAAAGCTTTAAAAAATAATAAATACAAATACCAGCTTAATTCTAAAATGAGCAGGAAATTGGTTCACAATGTTGTCACAAGTTTTGATTTCTGGACTTTAAAAGAGATAAATGACTGCACGACTTGTAGTGTTAATAGATGAATCAAGCTTGAAACATACACATGTTTAAAAGACATTTAAGAAATATAGGGATTTAATTATAATTATAATATATTGCTTTATTTCGGGGCACCATTGATAAATCACAACTGATAACGTGCGTATGACGTCACATTATCTATTAATTGGCTCATTTATTGATTCAGTAATCTTATGAGTCATTAATTATCTAATTAGCTATAATTCCAATTCTCTTCAATAGAATCTGAAGGCATGAATCCTTTACAAATCAGTGACCTAATTTCTGGAGTTAAATCAGCATAAATATCACTTTCAAACAAAGATAGTTTTGTAGATTCAATGCAGTATATACAATACTGATTAGATTGCAAATTGTCAAGAATAACATGAAGAAAACGTTGATTGTAAGACTTTTTTGTAAGGTTAAAAGGATTGTAAGGTTAAAATGTTAAGGCTAAGGTGAGATGAGGCTAAAGCAAGGCCGAAGTGTCCATGAACGGATTGGAAGGCCGAGGCCTGCCTGTGTTTGCAACCTTTGTAAGAGACTAAGTGTACTTAGTTTAAATTGTAGGTTTTAGTGAGCCAACAACTGTGTGGAGCAGACCATACAACCAGGATGTTTGATGGCGATGAATGGAGGCCAGCCCTTGTTCCTTGGACCTGGACCAGGCAGCTCGATCCAACGTCTGGGAGCAGGGCTGGACTGGCCATAGGGCGTACCGGGCAATGCCCGAAGGGCTGATGCCCATTTTTGGGCCGGCCTGCCTGCCTCATACAAAAAACATGTTTGTGAAAAGTGTAAATCCGTTGAGAATTGTTCGAGGGGGGCCGCGCGTGTCTGTGGGACACCTGCTATATGTACTCAAACGGGATCCCGCCACCTCAGCGGCCGCAGTGTTCCCGGGCAGCTGCGGCCACTTTGTAATGAGCGGTTGCCGCTCACAGCCGCTCCAACGTGGCCATTTACCCAAAACCATGAACGCGCACAGAACCATTCTCTGCTTGTTGTGTGTGTGACTAAACTCCCTAAATTAAAGCTTGGGTACCTATATTTTCCATTGCATTAAAAATTCATGTTGGTTGTGCCCAAAAGTAACAATCAAACAGATTTAGAGCCAGCCAATGGCTGTCATTATGCATTTCAGACTTTTTTGACCAATTCTCATCCCTGTAACAAACAATAGTGTTTGTCTGTGTCCATCTCCCTTACTTTGAGACATGTTTATTACTCTCTTGTATTGTAGACTATTGCACTTTATTTTATTGTTGAAACTGGCTCCCCCACACGAATAAACAAAGCCCACCCCAGCCCCCTGCTGTTTTCGGGCATTACCTCATTTGACATGCAAATGTTAGCAACCAAAGTAGCAAGTTAGCTTCTCATCTTCTAAACTAGGCGCCAAATAAGCCGGGACTTCTAGTGTTAGACACTGCCCTGCAACAAGTTTTCATATTGAGTACAAAGCTTTCATTTGTGGAGCAATCCTCCTCCTCTCCATCACCGCCTCGTCACCCAGACCAGCTCTTCAACACCTCTCTGATATACCATCACCAGGGTCTAGGCCTCGGGGGATTTAATCTCATAATCTCTATTTTAATTTCACGTTTTATATTCGTCACAGTGCTCTGTCTGGGTTCAAGCGCCAAATCATAACCACATTACCGCTATAAGTGTCATTCTTGCATATAAATGTATTGAGCTGGCGTGCACTCCCTATCAAGAGTAGGGGGCACGGTATAAAAACGCTTCACTTGCGCTACCTTGCCTCTACTCTATCCAACATCACATTTGCTGCACGGGGCTCTGGGAAAAGCAGTTTAGAGTTGGAGAGTTACTTTGGGTCAGGTCAGGGCATCAAGCCGGCGGCTGAGGCTTAAGGCCAGCAACTAGGCGGTGTTCAACTTGAATGCGTTTCTGCATTGCGTGTGTTGGCCCGGCTACTGTATGGCTGAGCATGGTTAGATGGACAAAACCGCAGATAAGAGTCAATGTTACTGCATTTAGAGACAATGATGCTGCTTAAAAGGGTCAATGACAGAGAGACTGCGATGGAATCTAGATAAGCCGAACAAAGACGGACGTACAAGGACATATCTATTTGAACAAATGTTTGCTCTCTATTAAAAATGTAACATATATTGTCCAAATGTTGCCTCTGTCCGGTCCATTTAAGCGTACGTGTGTAAATAACAAATTAAGACATTTTGGTTATCATATGCCCTGGCGTTGTTGGTGTTAATTTCAGCAGTGTGCAGAATCTTATGTGCTACTCTATAGTGACAGATTACTAACTGCTTTTCCCCCTGATGTCTCATTGATGAAATAGCAGCCAAACCACACTTTTGTTAGCCGATCAACAGCACATGCCGGTATTCCTAGAGGCTTATGTAGTGCAGCTCATACAGACTTTATAGTCCATACGGGTGGTGCAGTCTTAGCCACCTGCAGCTGGACTGATGTCACAGTTACCAGGATCCGTCAAAAAGCTACAATCTTCCGTCTGTTGTTAAAAAGTTATAAACCCAATATCCATGCAAACATTACTGCTAGGGTTTCCAGGTGGTCGTGCAGTTATAGACACTTTGACAACAGCAAGGGTCTTATTCTCATAGCACATCTCAAACAGGTCTATTACATTTATCTGACCTCATCATTGTAGTATGACTACTTTTTAGTATACTTATGTACAGTATACTTTAGATTTGATTAAAATAGCCTTGTGTTTACTTTCATAGAGGTGTGCTTAATTAACCAGACTTAGTACAGAAAAAGAGGTTTTATAAGATAAGATAAGATAAGATAAGATGTGCTTTATTTATCTCACATAGGAGAAATTTACATGTCACATTTGGCATGGATAGAGACACTCAGATTGTGCAAAAGGAGGAAATGTGCAAACATGTTACATGCAGGATATCCACGAGGCTAGGCTTCCCGTGTGCACAATGCACAAATAAACGCTTGCCTACAAAAAATAAAAATAAGAAAGCACATCTACAAGAAATAAATAGAGAAAGGGTCGGAAAGAGAAGAGAGCCAAAGTGACGAGCTGCACAGCGGGAGCTGGCGCCGGAAGTAATCTTATCTTATCTTGGAATAAGGGCACCAATATTAAGAAAGGAGGTACTTAAGGTCGAGTTAAACATGCACGTTTATTCAGTCTCAGTCTAAAAGCGTGAGTTCTCTGCCAGGGAGCTCTTAAACTGGGCAAATAACTCAAAAGAGGGTGATTTTAGCTGCGGTTTATTGACCCAGAACGAAAAGCACCAAAGATCGTTTTGGTTGAGTCACGAGTCAATAGAATGTACACATACCAAATCAGACAAAAAGTACAACAATACAGCTTACTGGTTGAAGTGATGAAAGGGATAGCAGTCTGTGTCCATGCGTGTGGAGAGGCTCGTAGGTCTCTGTCCCAAAAACGTGAGGGGAGCACACGTGTCCTTTGTCCCAGGAGTCCAAGGGAGGCCTCAGGTGTCGCGTCTGGCGAGGGCAGATGAGCTTTGTAGTGTGGCGTCCCGTCCGACGTTTTTACCCCAGGAAAAGAAGGGAGGTTTCCAGGTTTGGCTGATCAGAGTTAGAGGGAGTTACAGCCCTTGGCCACAGCCTTTTCACGTGAGGCATGCTCGTGTGTGTAACGGGGAGGGGACAGAGAGGAGGGAAGAGGACCAAAAGCAAGAGAAGAGAGCGCCCCAAGCTCGCAGCTTGTTTTTGTTCTCCATGTCTCGAGGGCGTGTCCGTTGGTGGTCACTTCCTGTCCCGGTCCTTCCACTCAAAGGCAGTTCTGCTTAAACCAGTGCTAATAAAGTTGTAAAATTACTAATTGCATACGTTCCCTGTGGACAACAGGATAACAAAAGATTCATCACAACAGATATGCATGTGTACAATCTTGAAGCATAAATGTTTTCACTGTTATATTCGAGTTGTGTGGATCAGTCCATCGTTGCCGCTAGGGGGCGGTGGAGTCACAGTCTTAGGCTGAGTTTACACTGAGACAATGTGGCAGTAAAACGCTATAGTTGAATGTTGGTTGCTACCAAGCGTTCATACGGAGACTGTGTTCCAGGGGGATGAAAACGTAAGTATTCAGATCTAGCCTGCAAAGTGGGACAGCTCAGATACTCTGCACAGCTGGGGCTCTCTTTCACACCCGCGAGAGGGAAAAAGGTGTGAAATCCCCCGTTTACTCTGACCCCCACCTCCGTGCTGCTCCCCGCACGTAAATTTGGACATGCGCAGTAGCGGAGAACAAACGTAAACATCAATGGCGGTGGTCACACAAACTAGCTTTGATAATTCTTCACCTTTGTTCGTCCAAACGTGACCACGCAAAGCTCATAGGTTCAGTTTCCATTTTCACAGCTGCTGTTAAAAGGCAGAATGATGTTGGCACGTTCTGAGGGTCTGGCACAGGAAGTGAGTACACTGCCGGGAGGGGGGCTGGGCACGGGGCCGGGGGTCGTGTGCCTGGATCTATAATAATAACTGCATAGGGTATTACTAGCTTATAGCTGTCCCACCCATGGGCACACGGGGCGCCCGTGGTACTGCAGACTAAATTCATGTGGGCTACCCGGAAAAAAGTTCCATAGAAAAGTTCCATAGAACCTAATGTATATTAAAACAGCATGTCCTCAGCTGACAGAGAACCTACAGTTTTCATAAAGATCGGATTTTGTGTGGATTTTAGTGTCCCTTGTCATCCTGAACTTTTTTTCTTCTTAAATCCTTCGTTTTTCTTTAAATCCTCACTTAACTGCCACAAACTCTGCTCCCTGCCTTCTCGCTCTGGCTCCGCTCTTCCGCCGCTCTGATTGGTCAGAGCGCGGCCGAGCCCCTCTGTGTGTGTGCATGAAAGCCACACACGCACGTTTGGCGCGACGCTTCATGGGAGATATCTCCCATCATGCGTCGCGCTAATCCACTGCGCAGAACCGGGAGGACCAGACAATGCCCAAATATAGGCGAGTTCAGCTTATCTCCCGGTCTCCATGAAGTCCCATGCGCTACTGAGCACAGGCCATTTATTTGAATAGGGCGCCATCTTGGATCACCGGGGCTTGGTCGTGTGTCGTGTTGTAAAGTTTCTCTGCCCACTACTGGCCGGGCGCTAGAACTACATCGTTTTTCAACCTCATGTTAATGCTGAGAAATTTGCATTAGGAGCCTGGTCGTTTCTGTTAATAGCCTGGAAACGTCTGCGCAGTGTCTCAGTATAAACTCAGCCTTAGTTTATACTGAGGTCATATAGGTTTTTACAAACATACTAGGCCAAGTGGCCCGGATCGTCGCCACAGGGGAGTGAAAACGGCCCGTGGTCACATGAACGTATTGTCTGAACCGTGCCAGGGAAATTGTGCTGTAGTGCAACACTCGGTCCAGCTGGTGGCACTAATACTAACACCAGAGACTACCTCGTTGCCCTGGTTGAGATCCGCTTCTTTTCCTGTTTACATTAACAGCTACAGTAGCTAACAGCTACAGCTACAGTAGCTAACAGCTCAGTACGGATCGCGTTGTTTAGGGAAAGATACATCTCACACTTGTCCACATTGCTTTGATGCAAAGTGCAGCAGTTCAGTGGGTAACGTGTGAATGCACACGTGTGTGTTTGTGTGTGTGTGTGCGCGCCGTGTACACACACACACACACTCTATAGCAACGAGCGTAAGAGCGCTGAGAAATGAATGAATGAGAATGAAGGAATGAAAAGTGTTGCATATGAGAATAGCGACCGTAGACAGGGAGGTTACAAGTGTGTGTGTGTGTTTGTGTGTGTTCTGGTGATTAAATAAAGACTGATTCTTGAATGTCTGAAGTGTTTGCAATAGCACCACACTGAGAGCAAGGGTCAGGACAGAAGAGAGCTATACCCGTAGGAAACGCTTTTCTTCAGCCCTGCAGAGAGACACTCCCCCAGCGCCCCTCCAGCACAGTACGTGGGCTGATATGAAAGGTTTAACACAAGCGGAGAATACAAAAGTGCAGGAGAGACGTGTGTGAAAATGTGTGTCACAGGAAGACGTAATGTGACGCGCAATATCAAGTCCTAACCACACCTTATCCCCCACTCCCCACCACCCGCCACACTGACCCCTCTCATCTGCGCAGGGAAGCGGGCCCTGGCCGCAGTTTTGAACCGGGCCAATCGAGCTCTGGCGCGAATGTCAGATGGCACCTAAAGCCCTGATCTAATCGCGAAGCGGGCCCTGGCACACTTTAACTGGGCTTTAGGCTGCACATGTGGCCGCAGCCTTAAGCCTAGTGTATACTTGTGCGGCGCTGCTTACGTTAGCGGTTGCGGTGGACCTACGCAAGCACAATTTAATTTATATTCCTTGCAGAGTTTTGAGGAGAATGTTGTAATCCCACAACCAACCACATGATGGCGATCTCACAGGAGTTGCTTGAGATACCAAAGCGGTCTCATTTACGCTGCTACTTTCTCCTCTTCAGAACAAAAACATGAACAAACCAAGCTGTTTGAGATCATTACATGTGTTTCTACTGTAGGTTTATGTGACAGTTCTATGGACTCATTATTTCTTAACTCATTTAACTGTGATGTTGTGAATAAAGACACAGTTCTTGTTGGAAACATAGTTATTATTAAATTGTATTCAGGACAAACAGCAAAACAATAAAAGTGGTAAATATCTGAGGCAAACATGAACAATTTACAGTATAAGTGCAGGAGGAATGCAACAGACGCGGTAATAAGCCACGAGTGCAGATTCAAACAAAGACAGTGTCAGGAATGAAGCAGACAGAGACAGATCGTGGTGTGCCAAACTCTGGAAGTTTATTTTGGTTTCTCTCAAGTTCCAGTGGTTTTTGATGTTTCTTGCTCTCAGATCAAAATGGAGTCAGTACAGTTATATAGTCATTGTTACATCACACATCGAAAGACATACGTGTCACTCAGAGACAGAGCATAGAAAATCATAGTCATAACATAGATGCACCATCACAGTCCTGTGCTTGTCCTGCACGTAGGCCAAATACTATACTATCTAATTCTCACAACAGGAACAGTTCATAGTTTATAAGTTATATATAAGTTAGATATGCAACGGAACTCTAGTCCACAGTCTCCGCGTATATCAGGCTCTGCCATGAGCCCAAACTACTTTTCCTTTGGTTCCTTCAAAGCTTGAAGCAGTCTGCTCCATAGAGCCTTGTCCATGTTCCCTGCAGCCGCTCCGTGCTTCCTTTCAATACACACACCCGGACCAATCACAGCGGAGCTTCCTTGCGGCGACCCTTGCGTAGTTTAGAAAATGTCGATGCTGCGCGGCAGGCAACTCAAGGGCCTTGCGATGACCAACACGTTGCGCAAGTGACGTCACGTCACCTCCGTAAGCTCTGCGCCGCGCGAGTATACACTAGGCTTTAGAGTCCTATCCTGAGCCTGTCGGCCCCCGCCTGTGGAGAAAATCCCCCCCCCCCCCCGTGGGGAGACTGGCGTGGGAATGTCTTCGAAGCTCAGGAGAGATACACAAATGTCTTTGATCATTGTCAGTCTCTGTAGGGGCCAACACCTACTCCAGACCTCAGTGGCCACAACTGGTCAGGATTCCTGTGTGTTTTAATTTAATTAAGGAGTTTTTGCGTCTGTAAGGCGTCTGCTGGGGGGTGTGAGTGGAGGCTGCTGGGAAATTCCAGCCAGTTCTCCAACATCATTGTCAAGGTGAGGAGTTACAGCAGAGACACCGTTAAAAAAGTCCTGGATCCACACATTTTTTCGAGTCACCTCCAAAAGTAAATCACTGAAATTATGAAAAAATCCTAACAAACAGCTGACAAACAAACCATTGGGATGTCACTACCCCTGAAGAAGGTTATAAAAATAATGCACGTAAGGCTGGAGCACCCAGTCAAATATTTGAGCACCCAGATAAATATGACCTCACAAAAAATATAAAAATCTTTAAGTAATATGCTAAGTAAATTGCACAATTTAATCTAACATATATAGAAAAGATAATAAATAATATACAAAATCTAATTTGCCTTCAATATACACCTACAGTATATTCTCGAGTGCCCATCAGTGCCTAGAGCTCGTAAACGTCCATGCCGCCTGGAGGATGGAGGTCTACAGACAGCTTTACTATGATGTTACTGACACAGCAGTCACCTCATTGGGCACTCTATTTAGTCGTTCCGTGTTTAAAGTGGTTCTCACCCCCGCTCCTCGGAGCTTACGTCACTCACATTTCCTGTTCAAATCTTCCTCTAAATGGGCGTAGCCTGGAGGACTAAAGGGGGCGTGAACGAGACTGGGCCGTTTATATACAGTGCCTTGCGAAAGTATTCGGCCCCCTTGAACCTTTCAAAATTTTGCCACATTTCAGGCTTCGAACATAAAGATATAAAAATTTATTTTTTTGTCAAGAATCAGCAACAAGTGGGACACAATCGTGAAGTGGAACTAAATTTATTGGATAATTTAAACTTTTTAAACAAATTTTAACAAACTGAAAAGTGGGGCGTGCAATATTATTCGGCCCCTTTACTTTCAGTGCAGCAAACTCAGTCCAGAAGTTCAGTGAGGATCTTTGAATGATCCAATGTTGTCCTAAATGACTGATGATGATAAATAGAATGCACCTGTGTGTAATCAAGTCTCCGTATAAATGCACCTGCTCTTTGATAGTCTCAGGGTTCTGTTTAAAGCGCAGAGAGAACCATGAAGACAAAGGAACACACCAGGCAGGTCCGAGATACTGTTATGGAGAAGTTTAAAGCCAGATTTGGATACAAAAATATTTCCCAAGCTTTAAACATCTCAAGGAGCACTGTGCAAGCAATTATATTAAAATGGAAGGAGTATCAGACCACTGCAAATCTACCAAGACCCGGCCGTCCCTCCAAACTTTCATCTCAAACAAGGAGAAGACTGATCAGAGATGCAGCCAAGAGGCCCATGATCACTCTGGATGAACTGCAGATAACTACAGCTGAGGTGGGAGAGTCTGTCCATAGGACAACAATCAGTCGTGCACTGCACAAATCTGGCCTTTATGGAAGAGTGGCAAGAAGAAAGCCATTTCTCAACGATATCCATAAAAAGTCTTGTTTAAAGTTTGCCACAAGACACACCAAACATGTGGAAGAAGGTGCTCTGGTCAGATGAAACCAAAATCAAACTTTTTGGCCACAATGCAAAACGATATGTTTGGCGTAAAAGCAACACAGCTCATCACCCTGAACACACCATCCCCACTGTCAAACATGGTGGTGGCAGCATCATGGTTTGGGCCTGCTTTTCTTCAGCAGGGACAGGGAAGATGGCTAAAATTGATGGGAAGATGGATGGAGCCAATTACAGGACCATTCTGGAAGAAAACCTGTTTTCTTCCAGAATGGTCGGAGGAACGGAGATTTATCTTCCAACAGGACAATGATCCAAAACATAAAGCCAAATCTACAATGGAATGGTTCACAAATAGATGTATCCAGGTGTTAGAATGGCCAAGTCAAAGTCCAGACCTGAATCCAATCGAGAATCTGTGGAAAGAGCTGAAGACTGCTGTTCACAAACGCTCTCCATCCAACCTCACTGAGCTCGAGCTGTTTTGCAAGGAAGAATGGGCAAGAATTCCAGTCTCTCGATGTGAAAAACTGATAGAGACATACCCCAAGCGACTTGCAGCTGTAATTGCAGCAAAAGGTGGCGCTACAAAGTGTTAGCACAAGGGGGCCAAATAATATTGTACGCCCCACTTTTCAGTTTTTTATTTGTTAAAAAAGTTTAAATTATCCAATAAATTTCGTTCCACTTCACGATTGTGTCCCACTTGTTCTTGATTCTTGACATTTTTTTTATATCTTTATGTTTGAAGCCTGAAATGTGGCAAAATGTTGAAAGGTTCAAGCGTGCCGAATACTTTTGCAAGGCACTGTAGCTCTGGGCGGGGGACTCCTGACGTCAGGTCTTGCTTCAGACGTCAGGTCTTGCTGCTGCGCCAGTGTTGGCGCCAGATTCAAAATTCAAATGTAATGTTTATACCGTTTATCAGCAAAAAAAGTGGATTTGAGGGTGAGTTGTCCTGAAGAAAGTGGATGATTTTCTCTCAAAGGAGAACTGCATTATTGAGTTCCACAGAGATGATTTGGATGAAATGAGGCTGACGTCTCATCCAAATGTGACGTCAGCCTCTCATTACATCAATATTGATTTGGCCAAAAAAAAAGGAGTAAGCCTAGACACATTTGATGAGATTGTTAACTTTCTAGGGGCATGTTACCAGGGATAGCTAAACTGGTAAAACAAGCACTGACTGTCCCAGTAACTTCATGCACGTCAGAGAGATCGTTTTCAAGTCTGTGGAGACTAAAAATCCTACTTACGGTCTACAATGGGACACGCCAGGCTGAACCACGTAACATTACTTAATTGACATAAAACCAGATCACAGCAACAGAGTTTGGATGATATTGCCAATGAATTCATCAAGTGCACATCGGCGAGAAAAGGCACATTCTTCTTACTATGTATGACATGACAACAACGGTGAGGTGCGCATCAGTCCATGTTTATTATGTGTAGCCTATTCTTTAAAGAAAATCCCCATCTAAACGTTGCTAGTAGCTTGCATTTCTGTTTAGGGAAATGAGGTGGAGTGCGTGTCACGTGACGATGCAGCTGACTGAGCACCTACACGGGAAAAGATAAATCGGCGCGGGTGATCAAACCACTGACATATTGCTCAGTGGCTGGGAATACGTACTCTTTAAACTGTTCCAAAAAGGCTAAAGACGATGTTTACGTGAGATCTGTTATCTACACATGTAATCCGGTGGACTGGGAGGGCATGTGTGGTTGTGTTTGCATGTTTTTGGTTTGCAGTGTTTTTGGCTTTCATGTCTCCCAGTCGCCGTGGTTACCTGGCACACCTGCCTGCCCCGACTGATTAACAAATCAGTACACCTGTGTCTGAGGGCATTACAAAGGAGGCAATGCAGTGAGGCAGGGGAGACAGATCGGGCGCGACACCGGAGAGCGGACGTCCAGCAAGGCGGAGGGGAGCCCGGGAGGAGGGACCAGCACGCACCGGGCCAGCACCATGGCACCCACGCTCTGGACCCCCGCGTGTAGTCCACGTCGTGGTATTTGGACGCTGCCCTGCCGGTGAGTTACGCTCTTGTGTAGACGTGGTGTAGAGTGTAGAGCTGTGCGTGGCTGGCCGATGTATGTGCTGTGCGTCAGGGCTGGGGCTCGCCGCTGGACCTGGACGCCCCGGAGGAGGGGAGTGAGGAGGAGCAGCGATTCGGGCCGGGAAGAGAGGCGAGGGACCGGAGGCAGCGAGTACCACCAGCAAACAAGCCAGAGGATGCAGCGGGAGAGCGGGGAGCTCTCCTTGTCCGTGAGTACCGCTCAATAGCTATAGCTTCTGTTGCATCAAGCGGCCTCAGGCCTGGGCTTCTTGGTGGGTGTGAGAGTTGGCCCTCTGCCTCTCTGTTGCAGGGTTCCGGCGCCAGCGGCTGCGCGCGCGGGACCTGACCGGACGCCGTGGGAGTGCTGCCCTTCCATCTGCCGGGGTGAGGGGACTCCGGACTGTCATCTTTTTAATTCATTTGAACCCTTTTTTATTTACAATTTTAACAATTTTATATGATTGTATTAACATTATTTTAAACCATTTTAAACCTCCTGTTTTATTGGAACACCCAACCCTTTTAAATCCATAAATTCTTTTTTTCGGCACTTTGCATAATTTTTATCTACCTTTTTACCCCAATAACCTCATTCCCCCCATGACACACATACAAGATACAGTCTCTTTAAAACTCATTCTGTGCTCTGTCATAAAGGTATAAATGCTCAGAATTACTCTCTCTGCTTTTCAAGGTTCATTTGGAATGAAACCAACAAATCGTCTCTCAGGTTTGTCCATAAGGTTTGTCGATTTTGTTCCTATTCTTCTATGCAAATACCAGGATTATTGTTTCACAGCTCACCTGGTGCAACTGTGGGCGGAGCTCTAATTTCAATGTCAGACCAGTTCAACACAACTATTAAGTGAACACAGGCGAGAGCGTCAACATGGAAAAGAGAGAGCTGCCCAAGTGAGTCACTTAATATTATTATTAAATGAGAAATCACTGGCTGTAGCCTGAAACGAGAATCAGGGTTAAATAGTTTTTACATACATCCTACATTGGACTTTACAGTATCCTTATTAAACTAATGGTGGTAAATTAAACCAGGTGTTGATCTTGCTGTTAAAAAAACAAGTCAGTTTCAATGAAGCTCTATTACTACATTAATTATATAAATATAAGAGGATATACATTAATGATTGATTGATTCAATGTGGAAATAAATAGGTCCTGCAGAAGTCTTGTTAAAATTTGACAACATTCAAAGATTTGCATAGACTATTAAATAACGCTGCAAGGAAAGTTCACAGTTCACAGATGCACAGTCCATACACAAAACAAGATAAATAAAAATTTGGCAAGTTACTTACGTAATACATACAAAAACGTTACCTTTCTCCTCAAAGAATCGTGTCACGTTCCTTATGGAAGAATGAATGCAGAAAGCTCAAGGTAAATACCTTGAGCTCTCTGCATTCATTCTTCCAACTCTGAGGTTCAGACCTATCTGCGTTTGTCTCCCCTTTTTCAAATAAAGCTGTCCTTTGAACCAGATGTTTTGTTTGTGAAGGTTGTTGTTGCTGCTTTTCCAACTATCTGAAACACTGCCTTTTGTGTCTGAAGCAGGTTTAGGTTCAATAGTTTCTCTTGGAAAGATGATATGAGTAATGCTAAAAGGCCTCTTGATACTCTTAGCTTATGTTCTGGGCCAGTTGTGTCCGCAGAGCAAAGATATTAGAGCTAACATCAACAGATTCAGACTCAAGGTCATTCGAACTGTGCCCCACAGTTTGTGTCTGCGTTTTACGCATCAACAGCATCCTCTGGTTTGAAATCTTGCTCATTTGGCCACTTGCTCTTTAACAAAAAAACAAAACACTGAGATCCTCCAGGTGCTCCTGTAAGAACATCTTCTGTGAAATCTGCTGCATTTGTAAGAATTCTCCTCCTTGATGTCTTCAAACTCCTTCAGTTGGAGTTCCAGGACGTCTATCTTCTGCTCACTTTCGTTCTCAGTAAACTGTTTTTCAGTCGAGTCCTGACTAGAACCAGGAAGTACGACCACATTAGTCCGGTCCTCAGGTCTTTGCACTGGCTTCCTGTGGCTCAGAGAATAGACTTTAAAACAGCTCTGCTTGTGTACAAGTCTCTCCATGGCCTCGCACCAAAATATATTAGTGACATATGAACCAGCCCGGACTCCGAGGACCACAGGGACTGGACTCCTGTTAGTGTCCAGAGTCAGGACTAAACATGGGGAGGCTGCTTTTCAGATTCATGCTGCTAAAATCTGGAACAATCTTCCTGAAGATGTGAGACAGGCCTCCTCTCTGACAATGTTTAAGACAAGGTTGAAAACAGTTCTGTTTAGCTGTGCATACAACTGAGGGATTGTATATTTTATATTTTTATCTTTCTTTTTAATGTACTGTGATTATTTTTGATTATAATGCTTTCTTATTTTGTTCAGCACTTTGACTTTCCTTGTGTATGAATTGTGCTATACAAATAAACTTGCCTTGCCTTGCCTTCTTTGGGGTCGCGTGTTTGGGCAGCAGTCTGACTTCGAGAGACAGAAAGCGGCTCGACAAGATGATCAGGAAATGTGTCTCTGTGATGGGGAGAAGGGTGGACTCTGTGGGAGCTCTGCTGGAGAGAAGGATGAGGGCTCTAATGCAGGGCATCCTGGGTAACTCCAGACATCCTCTGCATGTTACTTTAGCCACTGAGAGGAGTAATAGTAGTAGTAGTAGTTTATTCGGTCAAGCATGAGAAACAAAGTTACAGTTAACTGTCAACCAAACAGAATTACAATATGCGACCGAAGGGTTCAGGCTGAAGTTGACCCAGTACAAGGAAACGGATCGTTTCCATAGGAACACAAAATATACAAGCTGAAACAATACAAGCTGATACAGTATCAGCAACGTCAAACAATCAAAACAACAGGCTTACAGTATATCAAGGGACATATTAAGAGATCCTTTCTTCCTTCGGCTGTCAGACTGTACAACAGACCTATATGAGTCCTCTGCTGCTGGACATCTGAATTTCTCCTACAGGGGATCAATAATGTATCTATCGATGTAGATTGGGCTGAGATGCTGTTTCACAACAGGAGGTATATTCCACTGAGTCCAGGCTTCAGAACATGAAAACCGTTATTTTCAGCCAAATCTACAGTATATTACAGTATTGAACATGTATAAGTGACCTTGTTATACAGCCTGAGTCCTGCGCAGCGCGGCTTCTGTCCTTGTTCTACAGTCTGAGTCCTGTATCTACAGCCTGACTATGATAGAGGAGCCCTCTCTCTAATGTTTATTAGAGTTGTTCCTTGTTGTTGCTGTGTTGGCGAATTCTGTGATTTTGTAAAGTCCTCTGAGATAATACTGCCCTACTGATTTAGGGCTATTCATAAATAAGATGAATTGAATTGGCTCATTCTCAAAACATTCACATATTGTTTTACCAAACTTACAATCATAACAGATGCATAATTATCAGTCTGCAGTAAAACATATAATGACGTGCGCATGGCTCTATTACTATAATAGATCCATGGGCTCACCTCAGATCACATCTATGGTGGAAATCTAAAAAGGCCAAACTGCAGCGGCATAAAATAGTGTGTTCTTTGTCTTGTTTGTCAGGAGGCTGTGGGACACTTTTCAGGAGTTGCCCGTCATTGAGGACGAGCAGACCCCTTGGAAGCTCATCAAACTGGTCAGGTTCATCGTGCTGTGTGTGGTGGCGCTGCTGGTGTTCGGCTTGTCTCTGTGCAGTAAGGTAAAGTCACAGAACTGACTTGAAACATCCATCCATCCATCCATTTTCTACCCTTTAATCCATTTCTGGGTCAGGGGGGTGGCAGTCAGAGATGCCACCCAAGTCTCATAGCACCAGCCCCTCACTGATCCTCTGCAGGTGGTGAGTCCACAGGAGGACGGCTGCTCTCTGAGTGTGAGCATAGCCTTGATCTCTCAGTGGGGGCTTTGGGCAAAGTGGGGTTAAGTGTCTTGCCCAAGGACATGAAACATTTGATGATTAATGTAAAACAGTAACTGGGGATGTGGTTGTAGACGGCCTTCATGCTGCTGATCACCATGTCGAGTGAGGGTACGAAGGTGATCCCTGAGGAGCAGAAACCAGTGTCTCTGCTGTGCATCGGCTGTGTCCTGGTCTCCTCCAGTCTCCTCCTGTTCCTTAAGAGCATCTGGAAGGCCTGCTACAAAACCTCCAAGTTCCCACGCATCAGCACAGCGGCTCTGGTCAGTGTTGATCAGTATTGATATGAATCCACAGGTATACAGTAAAGACTGATCAATGATGTTGATTGTCCTGCAGGTGTTCTCCTTTGAGTTGGTGGCCTCTGCAGGAGCAGCCATCCTCACCATTGTGGCCATGCCACATCTCGACATTGTGACCAATGTGAGCATAGTGAACGGAGCGGCCTTTCTGTCTGCGCTCCTGCAGATCGTGGCTCAGTGCACGGCTAAAGAGAGAAACCGCTTCCTGGTGCCGTCCATCACTGCTCTGATCCTGGTGCTGCTGGGCTATGGTCTCTTCTTAGCTCTGTATGTGATGAAGGACACCAGTGACTTAAAGATGGCCATGTGGGTGGGGCTTGCAGTAGGCACCTCTCTGCTGATGTCTTTGAACTGGTGGGAAAACTACTTTGGACTGATCAGTGAACACAGCAGCTCCATAGTGGTCAAAGGACTGTATCACGACATGAGGAAATGCAGGAACACTCTGAACATGTTCTCCAGCCTGCTCCGCATGGCTGTGACCTTTTCAGTGCTGGGAGCCTACGTCCCTCTGTCCCAGATGGACTGGGACGTGGTTAGGTCCATCCCAGGGCCACAGACCCGGGTCACAGCCATCACAGTGGGGGTACAGCTGGTGTCCTCTGCCCTGTGCCACTGGTTCTCTCTGGCAGCCTGTAAAATGCACGCCATGCGGCGCTGCTTCATCTTGCCCCTGTACCTGTCCTCTCTGTCCGTCATGGCTCTGCTGGTGGTCCCTGTGATTGTTTACTATCAGGACTACAGGCTCGGCCTTAACGGCACCAGCACTAACTTCACTCACTACTGCAGCGCGGCGGTGGAGGCTCGGAATGCCAGCCTGAACCCTAGTGTGTTCCCTGAGCTGGTCTATGACGTCAGCCACACACTTTGCTTCCTGGACATGTCAAAGATGAGCGACATCGGCCTCCTGACCGGTACATAGAGCTCTGTATGAAGCCGCTGCTCCGGCTTAGAAGGACACACTCTAATGTCTGTGTTGTCTTCAGGCTCTGCGGTGTCGTGGTGGCTCGGCCTCATGCTGTGTACCATCCACTTGTGGCACCTCAGTCTGGTTCGCATCCAGAGGACCCAGGACCTGTTTGTGCGTGGCCTGTATGAAGGAGGCTTCATCGAGCAGTCGCTGCTGCTCAACATGCGCTTCGAAGTCAAGAACAACCGCAAGATTAAAAAGTGAGAACATATAATCTGTGGAAATGTAATTACAATTTATGTATTTTATTAACAGAATTGGTTGTCACCACAAGAATGTATTTGTTCTGAAACCAGTCACATGTCTGTGGTTGATGTCACACAGATTCACTCACCTGGAGCCAGTAAAGCTTTTTCTCTGTGCAACAATGTGGCACGAGACGTACGACGAGATGATGAAGATTATCATCTCAGTGTTCCGGTCAGTCAAAGTTCATATTCTTATAATTCAACATAGAGCTTTTGTTTATGTCCTTTTCTAAACGTACAGACTGGATAAGTACCGACCCAAAACAGACGAGAAGACAGATCTGAGTTTTGAGGCTCACGTCTATTTTGACGATGCTTTTGTGGATGTTCCTGGAAGTCAGGGTCGCCATGTCAACGAATACGCTGTGTCTCTTGTTCATATACTCCAAGAAGTCTATGTGTAAGAAATGTTCTGTTTTCATCACAACTTCCTTTACCAATCAATTACCACTTTCTTTGTTTTTTTCTGCAGCATCTTCATGAATCTGGACAAAGACCTCTTTAACAGAGAGCAGCAGGTCCCTGATCAGACCGTGGTTCGGACGCCGTACGGAGGCCGTCTGGTGGTGACAATGCCTCATGGAAACAACATTATCATTCACTTCAAAGACAAAAAACTCATTCGACACAAAAAGCGCTGGTCCCAGGTCGGATTTTAGTTCCTCCCAAGGTTTGAACTTTTTGTACAAACCACTTGTGACTTGCGTGCTCTTGGTCGCAGGTGATGTACATGTACTACCTCCTTGGCTGGAAATTTGCAACTAAATATTATACAAAATTGATGAAAGGGGTGTATAAAGAGGAGCTGATTCGGGAGTTTGAGGTGAGAGGAAAATCAGTTTTTCAACCCTAGATTTAAAGTATGGCAGAGCGATTACCCAACATGTTTTCATTCCAACTCCATTTTAAATACAAATAACATAAGGTCTACCTTAGGTCTTTTGACACCATCTACTATATGTTTGTGAACATTTAAATATAACAGTCACCATTGCTTTACCAAACCAGGGATTGTGTAGACGTACAAACCAGATTGAAGCCATGACTACGGACTGTATATAGATGGACATTGCTAACCTGCTAGCTCAATGAAGCCCAATAGGGAAGTGCACATGGGTGAAGTTTGGCTCCAACTCTCTCTCCGGCTCCTATTGACTAAATTTGGTCTCAACATCAGTCCATAAGGAGCTCTAAGGAATTTCAAAATAACAAAATATTAGCAGAAATATCAATTGGCTATTAATAAACAGTGCAATTCACATTGTAGTTTGTCACCTCTTTTGAGTAGGGTGAAAGGTTTCAATTATAAGCAAATAAAGAAACACTGAAAAGGAGAGGGGAGAGTGATAGGAGGAAGGTGTAGGTCACCTTCCTCCTATCACTATCATTATCAGTCCTCTTTCATAAGTGCGTTTGAAATTGTATTGTTTTGATTGGAACCCAGAAAGAGAAGGACAACACATACATCCTGGCACTAGATGGAGACACAGACTTCCACCCGGCGGCCGTGATGCTTCTGGTTGATCGCCTCAAACTTTACTCAAACGTGGGAGCGGTGTGCGGCCGGATCCACCCCACAGGATCAGGTTTGGCTTTTCCTTCAACAGACATTTAAAAAATCCATGTATCATTGTAAATATATAACTCGAGGTCTATCCATGTACAGTATATCTATCTATTAACTTTCCTGACTTTTCTAAATTCCTAGTTTGTGACTTCCTGATACTTACAATTACTTACTTATTACTTGCAATACAAAAATAACTGCATTGGTTCTAACTTAAAAACAAACTTCTTTAAAGACAGTTAACAGCAAATCATATGAAGCAGATTATAAAACACATTGGTACAGTTTTTCTGTCTGAGCAGATTAATGAAACAAGATAGAACCAAACTCCTGTAGATGAGTTTGGTGGGCGACAGTAGCTCAGTTGGTAGAGCATTGGCCTTTGAGCCAGAGGGTTGTGGGTTCGAGCCCGACTTTCACCATCGACTAACCTCTGGGAACACCAGCCACAGTGGGGCGGCTGCAGTTGTAAAGTGCTAAACTGCCGTTGTGTCCTTAGGCAAGACACTTCACCCCCATTGCCTAGAATAAGTCTGGTGTGTGTGAGAATGGTTGGTGGTGGTCGGAGGGGCCCATACTGGTTGCCTCGCTTCTGTCAGTGTGCCCCAGGGCAGCTGTGGCTACAGCAGTAGTTTATCACCACCGAGTATAGAGTGAAAGAATAATGACATGTGTCCAAAAAAGCGCTATATAAAACCGATGCATTATTATTATGTAGCAGCAATAATAAAACTTTTTTTAACCTCTATTTTGTTGATTACAGGCCTTTACCAAATGGTTGATATGCAGTTTGATGGTAAAAGTATTTAAAACCAGGGGATACAACAATACCTCATTCATAGAATCATAGATTTCAGTTCCAAGCTTCAAGTAGAAACAGTGACTGAAAGGGATTCACCCAATGGTTGAGGACACTATTAAAGGGTTAAAAATGATTTTAATATCTACCAGGTGACACTATGATATGATAAATTGATCCCCTGGTGTTTCCTGGTCCCTCAGGCCCCATGGTGTGGTACCAGAAGTTCGAGTATGCGGTGGGCCACTGGCTGCAGAAGACAGCGGAGCATGTGTTTGGCTCAGTCCTGTGCAGTCCTGGATGCTTCAGTCTGTTCAGAGCGAAGGCCGTGATGGACAACAACGTGATGAAGAGGTACACCATCAAAGCCACCAAGGCCAGCCAACACCTGCAGTACGATCAAGGTAATACACACACAACAAAGTTATTTAGATTGAACAAGGTTGGAAAAGGTACACTTACTGTATACCTTATCAGGCATAGAACAGGATCTCCATGGAATGCACACAATTATCATCCGTCATGGCAGCCGGGCCCCACGCTGGAGCTAGGCCTGGGGTTTGGGGCTCATAAGCGAGCGTCTGGTGGCCGGGCCTTAGCCCACAGGCTTCAGCCCAAAAGGGCGACGTGGGCCAGCCCTCTGGACCACCACTCACAGAGGGATCTGTGGTGGAGCAGTCAGATGCGGAGACCTCGACGACCCACTTCGCAGACGCAACATCACCTCACTGGGGGGGAAGGAACCTGAGCTCGTGGGGGAGGTTGAGCGATACCGACTAGAAATAGTCGGCCTCACCTCCACACACAGCTTGGGGTCTGGAACCCAACTCCTTGAGAGGGGTTGGACGCTCCACTGTGGCTGTAGATACAGGACCAGACTGTAGAATGGCAACATACTTGTATGCAGAGGAACTTTCTGTAGCAACCACAAAGAAAACAAAAGCCAACACTCAGCTCATCTGCATGACAGTTATGGAATGATAAGTAGAAGTGTGAGTCAAAACCGTCATTATCTTAATTGTGTTTGAATGTGATGCAATAACAAATACATGGAGGACATTGTCATTCCTCTGTATCTGTCACTCCTCTAACTTTCAAACTTTAAAGAGTACCTTCAGATGAGCTTTTTCAGACAAAGTGAAGCGAGAGGGCCACTGCTCATCTCTGAGCCCAAACCTTTAAACAATGATGCACAGGGATCTTTCTTTTAGTAGTTTTCCAATAAGGTAAAGAGAGCATGGTGACATTTACATTTACATTTACTTTTGACAAAAACGGTTTTCCTATTGGGACAAACAAACTACATGTATCGTTTATGAAGAAAAAGTTGGAACGCGGAATAAACTCTTGTCTTCCTCTCTATTTGCGCAGTTGCTAGAAGCGTACACCGCACAAAAAGATGGCCTTTTGACAGCGCTTCTTCTTCTCCTATATCTCCGTGTATAAACCCGGCAGACTGCACCGCCAGGATACGTCGCGTCCTGTCCCACGTTTGTTATTCGCGCCACTACCCTGACGTCATATGAAACCCAAGAATTCTCTTCTTGATGCAACACTGACATTTTCCCACTGTTGCAGGGGAGGACCGCTGGTTGTGCACTCTGATGATGAAGCAGGGCTGGAGGGTGGAGTACAACGCCGCTGCAGATGCTTACACCAATGCTCCAGAGGAGTTCAAGGAGTTTTATAACCAGGTGATGTTCTTTACAATGCAACAGTTCAACAAGAGGCTTTGGGCAGGAAGCAGATTGTTGATTAGGGTTTGATTGGTCAGCTTTACTAATGTATTTTCTTTTTTGGTAAGGAAAATGAATGAAATATACATATTCTCATTTATACTGGACATGATCTGCTGCAAGGTGGGTGGAGAGGTCCTTCCTCAAGTGGAGGAGTTCAAGTATCTCGGGGTCTTGTTCACGAGTGAGGGAAGGATGGACCGTGAGATTGACAGGCGGATCGGTGCAGCGTGCGCAGTGATGCGGTCGCTGTATCGGACCGTTGTGGTAAAGAGGGAGCCGAGCCAAACGGAAAAGCTCTCGATTTACCGGTCAATCTTCGTTCCCTCCCTCACCTATGGTCATGAGCTTTGGGTAATGACCGAAAGAACGAGATCGCGGATACAAGCGGTCGAAATGAGCTTCCTCCGCAGAGTGGCTGGGCGCTCCCTTAGAGATAGGGTGAGGAGCTCGGTCACACGGGAGGAGCTTGGAGTAGAGCCGCTGCTACTCCACGTCGAGAGGAACCAGTTGAGGTGGCTCGGGCATCTGTTCCGGAGGCCTCCTGGACGCCTCCCTGGGGAGGTGTTCCGGACACCTCCCACCGGAAGGAGGCCCGGGGAAGACCCAGGACACGCTGGAGGGACTATGTCTCTCAGCTGGCCTGGGAACGCCTTGGGGTCCCCCCGGACAAGCTGGAGGAAGTGTGTGTGGATAGGGAAGTCTGGGCATCTCTGCTTAGACTGCTGCACCCGCAACCCGGCAACGGATGAAGCGGAAGAAAACGGCCGGACGGATGATCTGCTGCTTCTAGTTCTCTGCTTATGTATATTTGTGTCATCATAATTGATTCAGGATTTAAACTTTTCATGACACCCAAAGATATACGTTACGGGCATTATTCTTAACAACCATAGCTGCCCTGGGACAGACTTACAAAAGGGAGGCAACTTCTCTGTACCACTGGCTCCTCCCACCTCCAACCATTCACACACACATCAGACTTATTCTAATGTGGGTGAAGTGTCTTGCCTAAGGACACAACCACAGTTTGGCACTTTACAGCCGTAGCCGCCCCACTTTGGCACCTGGTTTTTCCAGAGGTCTCCCATCACAGTACCAAACCAGGCCCTGCCCTGATTTTTTCCTTTCTTGTTGCAGCGGCGGCGTTGGGGCCCGTCCACGTTTGTGAACAGCGTGGACCTTTTGGGAAACGCCACATTAATGATCAACAGGAACCGCTCCATGTCCCGACCCTACATCTTCTACCAATTCATCAGCCTCGTCACCTCCATCCTGTCCCCCTCCTCTGTCATACTCATGATCACAGGTACTCCGTCATACTCATGATCACAGGTACTCTGTCATACTCATGATCACAGGTACGCTGTCCTACTCATGATCACAGGTACTCCGTCATACTCATGATCACAGGTACTCATGATCACAGGTACAGGACAGCAGATGAGTGCTCCACCTACGGTCTTCATCTTTGGGTAATGACCAAGCCCACACGAGTTTCTTCTACAGAGTGGAGCCTGGAGTAGAGCCGCTTCTCCCTCAAAAAGAGGGCAAGAAGCTCAGTCTGGATCTGGAAGTCTTAAAAACATATTGTGCCTTTTGGAAGGTTTCATTTCATAAAACGTTTCCGTCGCAGATGTTGTTGATGTTGTTTGTAGCTTTAACGATGACGATAAAGAACGTAATTATAACAATTATAATCTGTTATTTCTGGTTCATTAGTTGTAGGTGCATGCTGTTATAGTTAATCGGTAAATATTTATACATACACAACCTATGTGTGGTTCACTGAAAATACACACAAGGACAAGAATGAGTGACTCCTCAACAACAGATCAGAACAGTTTGAACAAAGGGATTTGTCCATAAATATCTCAGGTCTTCACTGTCCTCAGACTCTCCTGCATCAGCAAAAGCAACACTTTGTGAACAAAAGTGTGCCTGTCTTTTTTCAGGTTGTCTGAACCTGCTCCTGAACATCCCTCAGAATGAGGCCCTGGTCCTGTCCATCATTCCTCCTGCTCTGTTCCTCGCCGTCAGCTTCAAAGTGGAGTCTAACAAACAGATCACCATCGCCGCGGTGATGTCCTGCGTCTACGCCTTCATCATGATGATCACCTTCCTCACCGTCATCGGTACACGCCTTTTTACTCTTATTCTTTAGTCTAGTGTTGGTTTTTAGAATGCTGATCCAGCAACCTGGCAATGGATAAAGAGGGAGAAAATGGTTGGATGGATATTGTATATTATTATTTCTTCTGTTGTTTCTTCACAAAACAGGCACCAACTGATGTTAAGCATGTTCTATTCTTGGGTTTCATATGATGTCAGGGCAGTGGCGCGATTACGTGGGACAGGACTGGACCGGACGTGACGTACCCTGGCGGTGCAGTCTGCCGGTATATGTATATACGCGGAGATATAGTAGAACAGTGGTTCTCAAACTTTTTACACAAAGTACCACCTCAGAAAATACTTGCCTCTCCAAGTACCACCACAAATGACCAACACTGCATAGTAGCGTAGTAAGCCTAAATATTCATCAAAAACAAGGCAGAAGCTTCATTCCTAAAGAAGTAATAGTAATTTAATATTGTCAGCCATTGTAACATTTTACACAGTTTCAACAGTAAGACTTAAATATAGGGGAAAAAAAACTGTACTTAAATAATCATTCAATTAAAATGTTCAATTCATTATGATCTGCAAAGCCTTGACTCACTGTGAATGATATTCTGGAGTGGGATCTCTCTCCAGCAGAACACTGCACTCTTGTTTCTAAGGCTTACTCTGCTGCCCTCTTACATCTGCCATTTACTCACAAAGAGATGTGGTTTGGATCAAATGATTTTTTTTTGCTTTCTGTTCCTTTTCCACAGAACTGGGAAAAAATCTTTTGTATTTGCTGCTCCTTCTACATGGAACGTGTTGCAAAAAGACTGGAAATTATATAATTTTTTTTCATTGAATGCTTTTAGATCCAGATAGAGAGCACTTGAGACATCTTCAGAAATGTGACTGTTTTTATAATCCGTAATGTTATGAAATTGTATGTGACTGTTTTATAATCTGTATGTAACTGTTTTATAATCTGTAATTGTATGTAGTTTTTGTCCAGGACTCCCTTGAAAAAGAGGTTCTTAACCTCAACGGGAATTTCCTGGTGAATAAAAAAGAAAAGAAAAAAAAAATCAGTGATTCTTTGGCGTACCACTAGAGGGGGCCCCTAGTGGTACGCGTACCACACTTTGAGAACCACTGTATTTTGACTACTATCAAAATGCCATCTTTTTGTGCGGTGTACGCTTGTAGCAAGCGCGCGAATAGAGAGAAAGACAAGAGTTTCTTCCTTTTTCCAACTGTGGTCTCATATAAAGGAGTACACTTTGAAAAAATCACTCGAATGATGCGGGCGAGGTGGATCAAGGCTTTTCCAGATAAGCGCCTCCTGCAGGCCACCCCAATGAAACGCAGAAAATTCTGCTGTTATTTTTTCCAAAAATACCCGAAATCAAGACTCTTTTGAGAAACATTATTTAGTATTCCCTTAGAATTAAGGGAAGACCGTTACAACAACTGTACACCGCACAGGACGAGAGCCTTTTGACTCCAAAACAGACACAATTTACATGGTTTTCAACGGGAGCAAAACTGAGTTGTACAGGCCAGGTTAATGAAACCCAAGAATAGAACGGTCAGAATATGCAGTGGAAAAAGAGATGATGCTGTGTGAATGAAGTGACCTGGGTTGAAATTTCAACCCAGATTGGCGTGTTTCACAATCTGTAGATAGTCATTAAAATATCTACTCTCTGCCAATCTAATCTCAAGAATTTAGTGTCTAATTATCATGTTGGGTGAGTGTGTATATATATATATATATATATATATTACTCACCTGTATGTGTATATATATATATATATATATGTATATATACATTATTCATATATTATATATATTATATTATTTTTTAGCTTATTTATATAAGCTAAAAATAATATAATGTATATAATATATGAATATATAGTAGCTAAAAATAAGTATATGAGACCGAACTGAACAAATTCTAAGCCCATATGAGACCACACAAGAGTTGACCATTTGTGAAACCTCTCTCCAAACGTCTAAAACTAGCTAACTCTCTAGCATCCAGATAGCTTTCTCTGCTGTTTTGCCACCCAGTCACGTGACCGGCGCAGAATAACTATAAACAACAACGTCATTCAAAGATCCTCCGACACAGCGCTCTTCTATTCATTCACTCCAATCACAGTGGGGATAAACTACTACTGTAGCCACAGCTGCCCTGGGGCACACTGACAGAACTGAGGCAACCAGTCCGTGCCATCAGCCCTCATGACCACCAACTGTTATTTAAGAAGAAAACAGTTTTAAATCAACAATCTTTAGTGACGCATATGGCCCTCCGGCCTTGTATTTGACATGTGTGAGTTGGAGGTTAGCATAGTCCATCTGTAAACAACCTCTGAAGAGCGACTATATTATGTGACTATATTTAGAAAGATCGATAGGTGACCAGAAGCAGAAACATCCAAAACACATGAACACATCATTCTAACAATCGTAACAAAAGGCATGTTTGAACTCAGATAGGATACTCAGTAGTGCAGTGTTAAAGCCGGAGGAACAAAGGATCTCTCCATAAAGTGACGTCTCGTGTCTTTACTCTCCTCTTGTGTCTCTGTTGTTCCTCTTGTGTTTCCTACAGCGAACATGATCGAGGACCAGAGCATCATGACTCCCAGCAGCCTCTTCATCGTGGCGTTGATGTGTTTCTACGTGGTCACGGCACTGCTTCACCCTCAGGAGGCAGGGCTGGTGTTCTACGGTCTGCTCTACTTGCTCTGCATCCCCAGTGCATATCTGCTGCTCAGCATCTACTCTATGGTTAACATGAACAACGTATCCTGGGGCACCAGAGAGACGGCCCCGGCCCCTGGGGCTATGGCTGCAGCCCCCATCCCAGAGCGAGGGCCCCTGAAGAGAGGTGCCTCCGCTCTGCCTGCACTTTTTTCATGCACTTTATATACAGTGGGGCAAAAAAGTATTTAGTCAGCCACCGATTGTGCAAATTCTCCCACTTAAAATAAAGACAGAGGTCTGTAATTTTCCTCACAGGTACACTTCAACTGTGAGACAATGTGAAAAAAAAAATCCAGGAATTCACATTGTAGGATTTTTAAAGAATTTATTTGTAAATCATGGTGGAAAAAAAGTATTTGGTCACTTCTCTGGCTCTCACAGACCTGTAACTTCTTCTTTAAGAAGCTCTTCTGTCTTCCACTCGTTACCTGTATTAATGGCACTTGTTTGAACTCGTTATCTGTATAAAAGACACCTGTCCACAGCCTCAAACAGTCAGACTCCAAACTCCACTATGGCCAAGACCAAAGAGCTGTTGAAGGACACCAGGAAAAGAATTGTAGACCTCCACCAGACTGGGAAGAGTGAATCTACAATAGGCATGCAGCTTGGTGTGAACAAATCAACTGTGGGAGCAATTATCAGAAAATGGAAGACATACAAGACCACTGATAATCTCCCTCGATCGCAAGATTGTGAGGTCAAAATGATCATGAGAACGGTGATCAAAAATCCCAGAACCACACGGGGGGACCTGGTGAATGACCTGCAGAGAGCTGGGACCAAAGTAACAAAGGTCACCATCAGTAACACACTTCGACGACAGGGAATCAAACCCTGCAGTGCCAGACGTGTCCCCCTGCTGAAGCCAGTGCATGTCCAGGCCTGTCTGAAGTTTGCCAGAGAGCACACGGATGATACAGCAAAATCCTACAATGTCAATTCCTGGATTGTTTTTTTCACGTTCTGTCTCACAGTTGAAGTGTACCTATGATGAAAATTACAGACCTCTGCCATTATTTTAAGTGGGAGAACTTGCACAAGAACTTGCACAATTGGTGGCTGACTAAATACTTTTTTGCCCCACTGTATAAAAAACATAAAGTGGTCTGACACTTTGTTTTTTATATATATAAAGTGCATGCATTTTTCTGTTGAAACACACAAATTATACTTGTCAATCAAAAGAAGTTACCCACTTTGAGTCAGTGGAAAAAAGACACATGATGGTGTGGTGTTGTTTCATGCTTAATCAGAAGAATATTAATCACAATAACTACAATGAATAAAAATATACTATATAATAAAACATATATAAGTTTTGTGTCATAGTAACTATTAATCAAGTACATGTTAACATTATGTTGATCAATTTTGATAGTTTTTGTCAGTGTATAATCTTTTGGTTCCTGTTTCCTGGTCCCAGCTCTGTCTTCTCTCTCTCTGTGGATGAAGAAGTGGTTCTGTAGAGGGACCTGCTGTCAGAGGTGTCGCAGAGACAGTGATCCAGAGACTGAGAGGCCCCTGGAGAACTCCATGGGGCCGTCAGAAGAGGCCCCTGAGGAGCTGCAGCCCCAGAACACCATCGTGGACGACGGGGGCCCGACACAAGCCGAGCCACAACTGTAGGGGCACCAACATCTACAACTAGTAGAGCTTGGAGAAACAACTATTTCAATTACAGTTAGAGTTACAGAGTTTCAGTTTTCAGACCAGCACAAACATGTTGATATTAAAGCTGAGGTCCCTGATTTTAAACTGTGTAATACCATCCATCTATTGGTAACTAGATCCTTACAATCAATCTAATTTTCACGTCATGTATTTTGGCCTCTGTCACAGCTATATATCAGCTTTGTAATACTTAAAAGCCAAAAAGAGAGCACCACCCTCACCCAGCCTTCAGCCCTCAGACTCATCGGGCTCTATCTGTTTTCTGTCCGATTTATTCCCAAAATTCAACATGTAATATTTGTGGGGGAAGTGTAGGTATCCCAGCATTAATTGAAAATATATTGTATTTGCAGCCAGATAATTGTGTATATGGAATATGTATAAAAAAGGAAAAAAGAAGTAAGATTTGTTTCCTTTTTAATCTGATAGAGAAAGCTTTGAATCTGCTTCACTCCAGTCTAATCGTCACCTCATGTATGATTCATCGTGTAAACACTCTGAGACTAACCAATGTTTGTCTTGTAGGTACCCAGAGCCTGTCCCCTACTGTCCTATCCAGTGTAAGTCTGTGTATTTCTTTATTCCGTCATTTTTTTTGACACGTTTCACAGCTTTCACATTTTCAACAATTTCCACAAGTTATACATCAAAACGTTCCACATGTTTGGGAGATTATTGCTATTACTTTTGGGACTTCAGCGATTTCCGGTTTTTCCGCAATCGGACAAAAATCTGCATTGAGAATTCTGCAATGCATTTTAATAGGCCCATGCATTTTAATAGGACTTCAGCTCTTTCAGACATTTCTACAGTTTCAATGATTCAACAGTTTCAAGGATTCAACAGTTTCAAGGATTTCAGCAGTTTCAAGATTTCAAGAGTTTCAAGGACTTCAACAGTTTCAAGGACTTCAGCAGTTTCAAGGACTTCAGCAGTTTCAAGGACTTCAGCAGTTTCAAGGACTTCAGTGTAATCATGCAACCTAATAGGGATTTTTCCATGTAAACCAGTATAATGCAACTTAATAGGGTTTTTTCCATGTAAACCAGTACAATGCAACTTAATAGGGTTTTTTTTTTACATGTAAACCAGTATAATGCAACTTAATGGGGATTTTTCCATGTAAACCAGTATAATGCAACTTAATAGGGGTTTTTACATGTAAACCAGTATAATGCAACTTAATAGGGTTTTTTCCATGTAAACCAGTATAATGCAACTTAATAGGGATTTTTCCATGTAAACCAGTATAATGCAACTTAATAGGGTTTTTATTCATGTAAACCAGTATAATGCAACTTAATGGGGATTTTTCCATGTAAACCAGTATAATGCAACTTAATAGGGATTTTTCCATGTAAACCAGTATAATGCAACTTAATAGGGATTTTTCCATGTAAACCAGTATAATGCAACTTAATAGGGATTTTTCCATGTAAACCAGTATAATGCAACTTAATTGGGATTTTTCCATGTAAACCAGTATAATGCAACTTAATAGGGATTTTTCCATGTAAACCAGTATAATGCAACTTAATAGGGTTTTTTCCATGTAAACCAGTATAATGCAACTTAATAGGGATTTTTCCATGTAAACCAGTACAATGCAACTTAATAGGGATTTTTCCATGTAAACCAGTATAATGCAACTTAATAGGGTTTTTTTCATGTAAACCAGTATAATGCAACTTAATGGGGATTTTTCCATGTAAACCAGTATTATGCAACTTAATAGGGATTTTTCCATGTAAACCAGTATAATGCAACTTAATAGGGTTTTTTTCATGTAAACCAGTATAATGCAACTTAATAGGGTTTTTACATGTAAACCAGTATAATGGAACTTAATAGGGGTTTTTACATGTAAACCAGTATAATGGAACTTAATAGGGGTTTTTACATGTAAACCAGTATAATGCAACTTAATAAGGATTTTTACATGTAAACCACTATAATGTAACCTAATAAGGGTTTTTACATGTAAACCAGTATAAAGCAACTTAATAGGGATTTGTACATGTAAACCAGTATAATGCAACCTAATAGGGATTTTTCCATGTAAACCAGTATAATGCAACTTAATAGAGATTTTTCCATGTAAACCAGTATAATGCAACTTAATAGGGATTTTTCCATGTAAACCAGTATAATGCAACCTAATAGGGATTTTTCCATGTAAACCAGACCAAGACCCAAACGAAGACTCAGACCACCACCAGATAATGACCACAGACCAGGTTTCCTTAGTTACAGGAACCAAATTGTTTCAGCGGTGAGGGGATTTTTCAGTTTCAAGGACACTTTCAATACATTCAGTAGTTTCAAGGATTTCAACTGTTTAAGAATTTAACCAGTTTCAAGGATATCAGGAGGTTCAAGGATTTCAGGAGTTTCCACACTTTCAACAGTTTCCAGGTTTAAAAAAGTTTCAAGGATTTCAGGAGTTTCAATGTTTCAACAGTTTCAAGGATTTCAGGAGTTTAAAGGTTTCAACAATTTCAAGGACTTCAGGAGTTTCAAATATCTACAAGTATTTTAACAGTTTCAAGGCCTTTTAAAGGATTTCAAGGATTTTTTTTAGCAGATTTCCACATTAGATCTGTTCCGCAGTCAATCGCAATGGCTTCAGCCATTGCAAGTTTCTAGTTTACATTATTTATACATCACAAACCTCTCCCTGTTGTGCCTCAGCTTGGGTTTCTCAGGTGCAGGGTCTATCCGACGATATGCGTCTGAAGGAGGAGCCTCTTGAATCGGTGAGAGAATATCAAGATTGGAGTTAAAGCCGTTTGATTTTAACACAAATGTCGCTTCTTTCCAACAGTTTCTTTGCACAAGCTGTTTTATGAATCAGTCTGAACAAAGCACTTTTTTACGATTGTTTTATGTGTGTACTGTAGGGACTCGTATTCTAATGTGGTTTTACTGCAAATAGAAAATAAACTGAATCTGACTCTGATCTGAATTTGTCGCAGGAAGAGCAGCAGTTTTTCCAAGAGTTGATCGTTCGTTATTTGGAGCCGCTGCATCAGGACAAAAAAAAACAAGAAGAAATGCTGGACGATCTGCGGAGTCTACGAAATAAGGTGAGAAGCATCGGAGAAATTAAAGCTTCCTTGGTTTATTTAGAAATTAAGGATCGATAAATGTTGTTTGCCGATCCAGGTATTTCCTGTGTATGGTTTTTGTAGAAAGATCGGCTTGATACAGAGATGATACTTGATGCTTGATACTGTTCAACAGATCTGTAGCTGGTACAATTCTGAGCCTTATGAAGCTTTAGCTTAAGTTCAGCTTTAAAGAAAAAACACGAGCCAACACACTTAACACTAAAAATACAAAAATAACATTGGATATCTTCAGGTTTCCCTCTCCTCTTCACCATACTTTTTAAAATTCAAATACAGACATTTTTGTACATTTTTTAAGAATGGAAAACTGCCGTCACACTTTACGAAAGCAACCCTCTAACATGGTGGCGTAGAAACGGTTGCTATGTAGGTCATGTGGTGGTGCAAAACCTCTATGGTAATACAATGCTACTGCACTTTAGGATTTGGTTTGGATCATTTTCTCTGCTCGACGAGACTAACAGTGATGTTGTTTCTGCAGGCAAACTTTGTGTACTTCATCATAAACGCCATGTGGCTGGTGATAACGTTCTCACTGCAGTTCAGGACGGACATCGTGGGGATCCAGATCCCCAAAGTGGACATGAACCTGCAGCCCACAGGGGACCACATGCTGATCGAGCCCATCGGGGTCATGTTCATCCTGGCCTTCGCTCTGCTCGTCCTCATCCAGTTCATCGGCATGCTCTGGCACCGGTGAGCCCTGACCACCTCCTCTTAAAGACCTTATGCCGGGTTTGATTTATTTAGAAATACAGTTTTAATACCATTTTATATTAGAAGAGAACTACTAAAGGTTTCAAAATCAGTTGTTTTTTTTGTCCGATCCCCCCAAATCGAAATAACCCCATAGCAACGCCCTTAGAGACGAAAAAACTTCACAGCCCTTGGTGACGTCAGAGTGGGTACGTTTCAATGCTGTAAGTTGTTTACAATTTGGTATTTGTTCTTTTTTCGCGGATATTCAAGAGGACAAGGCCGTGTACAGCGAGTCTGACATAAATACTAGATTGCAACTCTTCGTTGGCACTGAGATAGTCCAGTGGTTGTGTTGATAGACTGCCAATCCAGACACTAGGGTTCAAATCTCAGCTCAGCCACATTTTCACTCTCAAAACGGCAATTTATGTGTGGTGAGCAATTGTCACCTGTAGAGTGCAGTATTGTGTTGGGCATCAGTGGAGAGAAGAGAGAAAAGGCAGTCCTGTGGCATAGATCCATGGTTTTCAATGCATGGGCGTTACCCGCTATGACGTCACACACAGGTTAGAGCATAGACAACTTAAATTCATGAAAAACACGTTCTTTTTATAAAATATAGGATTTTTTGTCATGCAATTTTGAGATCCACAATTTTTTTTTTTTAAACCCGGCATAAGGTCTTTAAAGCCGCAGTACCTGATTCTTAAACGGCAATAAAAACTCAAATCAATGTATTTTTGTACAGCCCTAAATCTCAACTGTAGTTATCGCAAAGAATTTCAAATTTCAAACACAAGAAATGCAATGAATAAAAAATAAAAAAAACATCAACAACTTTGTGAAATCCTCAGAGAAAACTGCTGTGGTTTAGGGCGATTCACAAATAAATGTCCTGTACTTTCTGGACTCTTAGGTTCACCTGTATAAAAGCCACAACAGTGATATTTAAGGTTTAGAGTTTTACTTTTACTTTCTGTTTGTAATAAAAGTATTTTCTTCTTTTCAGGACGTACACATTGATTCATTACATCGCCTTCTTGGACACAGAGACAGTGAAGTTTGAGGAACCAAAGGCGAAAGTGTCTAAAAAGGTACAGTTATATACCAAAGTATAAATGTAACGTTATAATAAGATTATGTAAGATGAAACTTTATTCATCTCCCATCTATAGAAAAATAAAACCAGGTAAAATAATCAAAAGGTCCACAACATGACACTGAAATAGTTCTAAAGTGTTTCCTGTTACAGCACCATTCAGCAAAATCCCCTCAGTAGCAGATCTCGTGACCTTCTCAAAACCTTTCGGGGCGTGGACGTGTCAGGGAGCAAGTATAGATGCACTACTGTACTAAAGAATGATGTTGGATTATACAAAAGAGCAAAAATACAACATGTGTCAAAATGGGCTGAGCACGCTGTAAAATACTGGCTCTATTCTCTCCTGTCTATTGTGTGAAGTTACGGTGTTTTTATAGATTTCCTGTGCATGTCTTTTTTCACCCTTACAACTTTTTGCAGCTTGACCCAAAGCATCTTCCTTGTTTGTGACTTCCTGTTCCATACAATAACAAGGAATTCTGATTCTTTTCTGAAACAATATATTGGTGTCTCATGATTCAGAGGTGTTTAGAGGAAACTGCTATTTTCTGACCTCTGTCTCGGCTGATTCTCTCATCTGAGGGCAGAAATCTGTTCTGACATATTTTTCAGTGACTGGTTGATTTGGCAAGACAAGGTTATTTGTATAGCATAGTTCACACACAAGGAAATGCAAAGTGTTGAACAAAACAAGCATTAGAAGATTAGATTAAAAATCACAGTACATTTCAAACAGTAAAGATACAATCCTTCAGTTGTATGCACAGATAAACAGATTTGAACATTGTTAGAGAAGAAGCCTGTCTCACATTTTCAGGAACACTGTTCCAGAATCTAGCCTCATAAAAGGTGCCCAGGGTTTGGATGTTTCTCCTTTGCACATTTACTTAATGCAGGATAATCCATACATTCTGAGAAGCCAGGTGGTTTAAAGTTGAGGGTGGCACACTTTGTATGTAGAATAGATTATGCTTTCAGATGATGTGTTGTTGGGATTATTATTTTAATTTTATGATTTTGCGTTAGAATCCAGTCTCCTGCCTTAAATAGTTTTAGACGTAACATACATAGCTATACTAGATATAACAACAATTACCTTGTATTAAAAAAACCCCAAATGAATACAAACAAATAATTACACACAATAGATGACAATAGACGAAAGAACAAGACAGAAATACAAGAACAGAGATTGTACATGTATGGACTACTATGCTAACTCGCTAACTCAGTTGTCTCCAACCTGTAACTCACTGCCCCTTCCCAAAGAGCTCCCCAAAGGATTAAGAAATTACATAAATATTCTGACTATTCCAAAATGTTCCAACATAAATGATAAATAATGACTATGGATAGTAACAGTAACTCAATCTGAACATTAAATAGATAAATTGTCGCTAAAGGTGTTCAAAGTAGTTGTTCTGCCTTTTTAATCCATAGAAGGAAAATGGTTGAAGTCTTCTGCACTAGCTCAATGAAGCCTAACAGTGAAGTGCTCATGGACAAAGTTTTGCTCCAATTGTCTCTGGTTCCTATTGACTGAGATGTAAAAGTAAACTGCTCTGGCTCAGTAACCGATTGGGCTTACATCCATGATCCTGGTGTTTATACTTTGGTGTCGCCTTTGAAAATCCAGATATGAGTCATATAAGGTCTATGGCCCTCACGAAGACAACACCAGTTCCACAAGTGTTGTTAAAACTTCTAATCTTCTCATAATCTAGAATATTCTGGCTCATCTCAGTTGACACTAAAGTTAATTGAGTTCTTAAGTGATCCTCCTGTCTCTGCCAAATCTTATGAACCATATAATTAGGTCTGTTTATGCACAGATGACGATCAAACCAAATATTACGATCAATCATTCCAGATCACCCCACCCTCTTTGTGCGTGTGCGTGTGTAATGTGCAATTAGCATTGTTTGAGCGTTGTGTAGTTAAGCAAGGTGTGTTTGGAGAAATGTGTCTGACTGTAATCATCTGGATTCCTCGCAGGTCGAAGAAGAAGTAGAAGAAGAAGAAGAAAGTGACAGTGACAGTGACAGTGACAGTGACGAGCTGCTTTACCCAGAGCTGAGCCTCAGAAGTGTCACAGGAACATGGGTCTGACACAGGGTCTGCCACAGGGTCTGCCACAGGGTCTGCCACAGGGTCTGCCACAGGGTCTGACACAGGGTCTGCCACAGGGTCTGACACTGGGACATATAGTATCTATACGGGAACCTCACTTTTTCATATACTGTAGTAAATAATGTATTTAAATTAGGGTTGTCAAAATTGTCGCGTTAACGCACTTTAATTACATTTTTCATTTATTGCGCATTTGACACATGTACCGAATAACCCGCCCATGCATCCCATAATAGCACTAAGAAAGCCGCGGACGCATGTGTGTGTAAGATGGCGACAGAGCAGGTAGGCCCTCTGTGACCGCGGGGCACTTGCTGTTGTTTTCTGTACGAACTCGAACGGGAGTCCGCATCCTCTGTGGCTGCAGCGTTCTGACCCGGGGCAGCTGCGGCCGCTCTGGACAGCGGTTTCCACCTCCGCCACTTTGACGACAACACAGATGTGGATTTATTGTCTGTATAATAAACAAATACAGTCCATATGTACACTATGTTGTCATTTATCTTTCCATTCAAACAACCATTTACAGGAAAAATATGGTATAATTTTGCAGATAGTTCGAAATGCGATTAGGTATGATCAATTAATTTTTAAGCTGTAATTAACTTGATTAAAAATGTGAAATGTTTGACAGCCCTAATTCAAATACAATTCACGTATTTATACCATGAACAAACCACACCTACAGTAATTATTATTAATTATTATTATTATTATTATTACTATTATAATTATTATTGTTTTGGCTGTGTAAGAAAGAGTTCTGGGAATCAGAAAAATCAAATGTGTACCTCAGGAAATCACAATAAGAGTTGTCTCGAGGGAAGGTAACCGCAAACTCCCAACTGCAGCCAGGGAACCAGGGAGTCCAGGGTTTTAGACTGGGGACTACAGGTGAATAGCAATGCACAGACTAGATTTAAAAGTCAATTTGACAGTGAGGAAGAGGTCTATTTCTCCTGTAGCTGTGGATGTGACGAGTTCAATACAGTTTAAATGGACAGTAGTGAAATATATAATAGATAATAGTCTGGTACATCAAGAATTCAGTGAATATGCAAAGATGTGGGTGTTTAAACGTGTGGTGCCTTACATTTAGTTCATTAAAACTGTTGCGCTTGACGTATGTTGCATTAGCAAATAGTGACACCGCACCTCATTGTGGATTCTCTTCTTCTCTCATGTTAAATGTAAAATAAGCCTCTAGAATGTGTCCAATGTGTGAGAGCATAGAGCTGATGTTTTACCTGTATTTATTTTGAATGCAATCTTCTATTTAAAGAACGCTGTGTAGAGCATTAATAACCAAATAACATTCCTAAGTGTGATCATAGAGTACAGAACATGTTGTGTTTAAATGCTGTGGTTGATTTGATGTCTCATTTCTGCTTCCTGATGCTTCCTGATGCTTCTATGAATCCTCAAAATGTATGCAAATTGTTCTGTAAAATGACGCTTTATCTTCATCCAATATCGCTTGGGTTGGAGAAGCAGCGGCTCTACTGTGAGCTGTAAGCTAAATCGAGAGCTTTGCCTTTTGAAGCTGCTCCCTCTTTATCACAACAGCCTCATACAACTCTGAGTGCAGACGCTGCTCCCTCCTCATGAAAACATCCTGATACTGAGATATTGTTTTATTGATAAGTGTTTCATTATTTTTATTTCCCCACAGTGAGACGATTAAAGGATCTCTTCATCTTAATCTTAATACAACTCTGACTTCAGTCTTCTCGAACATGATGGAGCGGTTAAGGCTTGTGTTTCACAGCAAGATTCCACCTCGATTCAATTCCAATGGTTTTGATTCCGATTAGTTTGATTCCACCTACAGATCTTTCTGTGTGGAGTTTGCAAGTTCTCCCTTCTGCATGCGTAGGTTTCCTCCAGGTGCTACAGTTTCCCCTTCCACTAGAAACAAGTACATTAGCACTGTTTTGGGGGCTTTGATGCTTCAGTGTATTCGGCGTCTCGCTTCCGTCTTCACTGTGTGGAGAGATTGTAAACATTTCTGAACTCTGAACTTTGTAAACCGCTTTGTGACCCTGGTCTGTAAAATTAACTATATTTATAAAGATTACGCATATTTATGAGTGTGTTAGTGGATTTTGCGATCACATTCACAAAATGGTTGTTTCTTCTGATGCATTGACAGTGCAATAAGAGGAGTAGAGTCTTAGAGTGCTGATGTTTCCCTCAGTGTTATCTCTGAGGTG